CCTTTTTGTACAGCATGATTCTCATTCACTGACATGATAATGTAGTATATAAGGCTGGAGGTATTAACACAAAACTATGGGATGAATATGTGGGGGAATCAGAAAGCCTGGTCCATCACGTATCCCTAAGGAGGAGGATCCTAATACTATCTGCCCCCATCAAGCATGGTTTAGTTATCTGCTGTGAAGAGGGCACTGGTTACTTTACTATTGCAGCTAATGCTACAGCCGGAAAGTAGTCATTCAGTGAGGGCCACTGTGGTGTAATAGTTTGAGTGCTGGACTAGGACGCTGGAAGAGGATGCAGGGTTTAAATCCCAGCTGGACTACGGAAACCCACTAAGTGAACTTGGGCAAATCACACACTCTCAGCCTCAGAGGATGGCAGAAAACTACTGCGTTGTTGTTGTGTGCCTTCAAGTTGTTCCAACTTATGGCAACTCTAAGGCAGACCTATGATGAGATTTTTTGACAAGATTTTTCACAGAGGTTTTGTGTTTACTTTCATTTGAGGGTGAAAGAGACTTGCACAAAGTCACCCAGTAGGTTTGCATGGCCAAGTGGGGATTCGAACCCTGGTTTCCAGAGTCCTAGTCAACACCACACTGGGTCTCTCACTATTATTACTTTAGGAATATTCTCTTATATATAATTATGCACCTCCATAATAATAATAAAAAAGAAACATGAAAATAATTCTTCACTTCATATGTGGAAGCAAAATGGCAAACTACAGAGGACATTTAACTATGACAAATGTAACACTAAAAAAGAACTGTACTTCTAATTTCAGAGGATTAACACAAGCAAATCACACCAATCTTATTTGATTTGCAGGATGTACTTAGCTGTTTCTGGGCTCATTCATGATATTGGTTTTAATATACAAAGCCCTAAACAGGTTGAAAACTGTGAACCTAAAGAGATGGGTTTTCCCATCTGTATCACCCCATGAACTTGCTTATGAGCTATCACAAAACAGAGGTTTTTTTGGATATCTACTGAGAGCAGAAAGTTTTAAATTGTGGTAGTAAAATGGTCTTTTCCAGAAAACCCAACAAGTCTGGACATCATATAACTTCAGATTCTTCTGAAGAGCCTTTGGGCTAAGATGAAACTTGTGGTGTTTTTTTAAATTCCAGGTATTGTCTCATTGTCTCTGGGTTTTGCTTTCTAACTGCTTTGGAAGGTGTTTTTGTTCCTCATACCAATTTGGCCTTTTCTTGTTTTGTTTTGTTTTAAATTGATATGTTATGGTTTTAAAGATATGTTGTACTCACCTTGAGTTGTTTACAAGAAAAAGGGATATAAATGTTTAAAATAAATAACAACCAATACTTACAAACAAACCTTCTCATTCTCATAAGACCAAATGAAAAGGGAGTTAAGAATGTGCTCATTTACTTTTCATTGGTAAAAGATATAAAATATAAAACTATTATGAGAAATAATCATTGGTGTCTTTTGTCCTTCTGCCAATACCTTATCTGTTTCCCATAAATTGCGATTGCTTCCCCATGAAGTATATTTGCAGTTCTTGCTCCAAATTATCTCAGTCTAAACCCAAGAACCATACAGTTGTCAAATGACATTCTTTCTCCCAATGACTATGTTCTGACAGCAACATCAAGCCAGCATCTGAATTCATGTGACAGTAATGTCAAAGGGCAAGAACTTGGTATTTAGTAGTGAAAAAAAGCACAAGAAACTTTATACATTTTTTTTAAATCAAAGATTCAAGATTGTCTTCAGATTATTAATTTTTTTTAATGAATGGGATGGGATTTTTTTTAAAAGGCTGAGAAGATCCCCAAGTTTTGAACAGGATCAGAACAATTCATCACATTAATCAGAAATGTCAAACATGTAAGGAACTGAAAATTATTATCCCCCATCCCAGAAAATGCATGCCTGTGATAGGTCTCAATGAAAACACTTTTATACCCCATGAAAAAGTAACTACTGGATTTGATTATTTCCCTCAGTCATACTTTGAATGAACTCACTCTCTCATGTGCCAAACAATTATGCTTGTAAGCTAATTCCAGGGAAAGAATTCTTTTTGTGCCACATTCTGCATATTGCTTTGACAAATGAGCTTAAGCCTACTGACATGCCATTTACTTAGGATCACAAGATGTACTCAAGTTAAAATCATATGACAAAAATATTTGATTTCTTCTTGGGGAAGAGTCTATAAAGTGTATTATTTAATACGTTAACCTCAGCATCTTGAAGAACTGGCATCAAAATGATACCTCTTCAAAGAGAAGGCCTTTCTTTAACATTAGTCAATACCACTCTTCTGACCTAAAGTGCTGGCAAGTGCTACCCCTTCTCTCAAAACCTGAATTCTTTTACTCTCTCACTCAGTCCTAAGGGGCCTTTAGTGCCCCTTTGGCAAGGAACAAGAGACTAAAAAGTAAACTTCCATTTTATTATGACATTTTAAGACATTTAAAGCACTATGCCTAGGTGTTTTGTTACTCCCATGATACTTATGTGCTGTCAGTAAACTGCTTTCAATTACCGTAAAGCCAATTAACTGAATGTGCTGTACTTTCTTTTCAAAAAGAATCTTTTCTTGTACTCAGTAAATTCGATATTGTAATATGATCACATGCTGTTTGGGGTTCTTTTCAACCAAATAAACTTTTAAAATACAGAGAATATTGACATTCAGTAACAGAAATTAAAAGGCTGTAAAACAAATATTGTTTCATTTTTGTGCATGTCTATTAAAAGATCTGTCATATGAAGATATAGTCATTTCATCAGCATGTTTAATAAGAATTTGCTCAATCAAAACATTCAAAGTCTGAATTGGAAAGTTCAGAATTGTCTCCTTCTGGAGGTTCCATTCAGCTTAAGTCCTTATCCAAATTTTCACACAGTTCGAGTCAATTTTTGTAGCTGGGATTTCATCACAGCAAAAGTTTAGATTTTTCAATTCCCATTATGTGGAGTTGTTTTAATTGGAACCCTTAAGCCAATGGTAAACATGATCTACCACACTACTTACAAGTGATCTGGAACTCTGTTTTGTGGGGGGCAGGAACTGTCGTACATTGGTTGGTGTTTCCTTTTCAATAGAATGACGTCTCTGAGGTGGCTGTCTCCTCTCTGGCTGTGGTGTCGATGATATTGGCAAGAATTTTGGAGGCACTATAAATTCAATCAGCTTTAGTTAGCTCCAGACTAACAGTTAACTTTGCTAACAGTGAGGTATTTTCTTTTGAGAGTAAGATCAATAAAACAAAGAGATTGGATATAGGTAACTCAGCATTATTACTCTGAGGCAAATGTTGTAATGCTTTGGAAAAATGAGGTCTTGAATGCAATTTGGTGCTTTGGTAACACAGGTTGTTAAATACTCATACATATTATTATGGTGGTGACCTATCCTTGTTAAATAAAGTTACATCATAACACTGCAAATCAAGCAGACAGCATCCCTCAGTTCACAAAAACAATTCAATCCAAGAAAGACAGGTATCAAGCTAAAATTCAGTATGCTCTTTTATATTTAATTTACTGGATGCAATAAATGTGTAATTTATTAAATAAAAAAATAGCTGGATGTTTCTTCAGAATCTGCATGCTATAGAGACATATGCCAAATATAGTGTGGGGAAAAGCTACAACCTCCATCATCTCTGTAAGTTAGCTGGAGCAAAGTGTTTACTCCCTTCATATACCTCTCAATACAAGCTTAAATCACTAGAAGACTGTAGTATCTCCTCCTTGCATCTCCTGTTGTTATAAAGAAAGACTGGGGAAAGTGTGGCTTCTGAATTCCACTGATATCTCCTCCAACCTTTTTGAACTTTTTGGGTGATTTTTGCCCCCCCCCCCCCCCCACAAACAAGCTTTAACCCAGTCCTAGGGCTTATAGCAATAACCCCCACCTCCTTTTAATTGAATAATCAATTATGCCACCTTAACTTTCAACATGTTCACTTTGTGGTTGTTTTGTCCCTTCAAGTCATTTCCAACTTATGGCGACCCTAACACAGGGTCTTCTTGCCTACCTCTAACCTTTTAATAATGAGGTGGAAAAATCAGCCAAAAATGAAATTGGAAGTGATGTGATGTTATTTTGCTGATCTCAGGCCTGTCTGTGCAGCCAGCCGCGAAGAATGTAAAGATGCAAAAATGATCTGTACCCCCTCTAGAATACTAAAATGATCTGTACCCCCTCTAGAATACTCTGACCCTTGCACCCTCACTAGGAAAAGCAAATTGTTAAAGAAAAAGGCATGGGATTTCGTAGGACTAAATCGAATTGTTAGTCCTAACTAGAGCAGACATAATCAATGGGAACTTGATAATTCAATTTATGTATATTCCATTGATCCTATGGTTCCATTTCGGTTGGGATTAACAGTTGGATATAACCATCCTTTGCCGTAGGATGTTTTTGACCTGAAAACACCAATTTTCTATCTAGTTGTAATTGTTGTTGTGTGCCTTTAAGTTGTTTCTGACTTACGGTGACGCTAAGGCGAACCTATCACATGGTTTTCTTGGTAAGACTTGTTCAGAGGGAGTTTGCTATTGTCTTCCTGTGAGGCTGAGAGAGTGTAACTTAGGGGGGAAGCAGACGGGCGGCCCTGGGCTGCCCCGGGAAGCTGTGCCACGGGGCCGAGGTATCCCCACACCTCAGCCCCGCGGCGCAGCTTCGCCGCCCCGGAAGGAGCACTAAAATAGCGCTCCTTCCACAAGTCACCAAAGGTGCACGGCAAAAGGCTGGCAGCGCACCTTCGGCGACTCTTCCACCACAGTGTGTGTGGATGCTGCGGTGGGAAGGCATTGTTGGAGCGCCGGCCGTGTGGAGGGGCTGGCGCTCCGACGATGCCTTCGGGAAGGGCTTGCCGCGCCCACCGTGCGGCTGCCCTTCCCCTTCCTTGCCCCCAAAATGGCCCTTTGCGCCGTCTGCTTCCCCCCTTAGACAAGGTTTTTGCCCTTGGGTTTTTTGCCCAGGTCCCAGTGGGTTTCCATGACTGAGCAGAATTTGAATCCTTTCTTCCCAGAATCCTAGTCTAGCATTCAAACCACTAAACCACACTGGCGCTATCTAGCCCTGTAGGGCAAAGGAAACATTTGGTAATAATAATAATAATAATAATAATAATAATAATAATAATAATAATAATAATATTTATACCCCGCCTTTAGCCAAGGCCATCAAGGCGGCTTACACAGTAACACAGCAGAGGCTGCATATCAATGTGTTACCCAAACTCTTCTCATATTGCCACCCTTCTATCAATACTATCAATCAGAGTTACAAAAAAGTTGTAAGAGAGGGGTGTGGAAAACAAATAGAGCACATGTGATCTATTTTAGCACCCTGACTACCTCTTTAGTCTGCCCAAGTCTATGACCAATTATCTCAATCACAGGACCTCAAGATGTCCAAGACATAAGAAGTGCAGTACTGAAAGCATGTAGGAAATTCTGAACTGCACTCTCCAGCTTTGTCCTGCCCTGACCTAAATCTCATATCCTTACCTTACATTAAGGATTGTCATACTCCAGATCCTATAGGACAAAACCAGTGGTAAGAGATAATGGGAGATGTAGGGTGCATCTACACTATAGAAATAATGCAGTTTGACACCACATTAAGTGCTGTAGCTCCATCCTATTTAATTCTGGGATTTGTGGTTTTATAAAGTCTTTAGCCTTCTCTGCCAAAGTGTGTTAGTTTTTCAGAAACTACAAGTTCCAGGATTATGTAAGATGGAGCCATGGCAATTAAAGTGGTGTCAAACTGCATTATTTCTACAGTGCATTTGCACCTACAGTTTAACAACATCTGAGGGCAACAGGAACTGAATCCCATTTTGGGAGAAAGGTGGGATACAATTTCCATAAATAAATAAATAAATAAATAAATAAATAAATAAATACTTTAACCCAGTCCTGGGGCTTCTATCAAATATCCCCACCTCCTTTTAATTGAATAATCCAGGTATCCCCCATTTGATCCATCTGCTTGACTTGATTTCTACTGTAATACCAACACAATCTTTTTTTTCCATGTCAAGACTCTTACCCTTTTTCCCAGATATGATCTCTGGAAATGCATCTTCTATTTGTGAGGGAGAGATACTACTGCTGCTAGCTGATTTGTGTACAGATTCTTCCTGGAAGTTAACAAAAAAAAAGTATTTAGAAATCCTGGTAATTTATTGCCTCTTCTAAAAGCTTACAAATTCAGAAATTCTATCATATGTTTGTATATCCATCTAATTTTATCAACTAGAATACTTCTCCATGTGTGTTTATATGCCTTCAAGTTTTCTGTTGACTTATGGTTTTCTTAGGTAAGGAATCCTCAGAATGGTTTTAACAGCTTCTTTTTCTGAAATATCCTATAGCACCTGACATTCATTGGTGGTCTCCCATCTAAATACCAACCATAGCTGACGCTAGTTAGCTTCCAAGATCAGATAGGATCTAGTGACTTTAGGGTATTTACCTTTTAGATATTTGCAAACTGACCAAGATCAGGGTCTTTGATAGCACAGTGTATACAATATAAACAATGTAACTGTATAAATGTACAATAAAAATATTGCTATCTGACAAAAATTCACAAAGATATCTGTAAGCAATAGGGGAGATTACACATTTACAAATCCTTCCCCACAATCACAGCCTTCTCTCCTTTTGGAAAGAAGACCATTTTGTTTCTCTCTTTCTCATTCTCCCTCATTCCCCCCTCTCCCTTTCTCACTTTCAGTCTCCGGCTGCCTGCTGTTCCTTCCCGTTTTTCTTCCTAGCTGATATAAGTGCTTCCTGCCAGTGTGAACATCAAAACAAAGCATAAAGCACAATGATACAAAGACTGCAGCTCTGTTCTAATTTTAATCTAAGTAATCACCCCCAGAGTGGGAGCGGCAGCAACCTCAACTAATTAGGTGCCACTGTTGGCATGCAGAGCCAATTATTATTATCACCATTTGTTCTTTAAAATATTTATAGACTGGTTTTTTAAAAATTAAATTAAAATTGATCCCAGTTTCCCTTTCAATTATACAATTCTATGTTTATTATCAAAGTTCTTTAAAAAAAAACACCCAACAGAACAATAAATACAAATACAAATAAAAAATGATAAAGAAGTAAGATGACAATATCTGTGGTTAGTGATAATAAAGAGGGCATCAGAGTGACAAGAGGTGTTATCTTCTGGCAGGCCTTTCCTGACTAGATCTCCCAGCCTAAGAGTTAAGTCTCCCTCTCCCTCCCTATTCTTTGTTGCAATGGGGGTTGGTCCCTCTTAATGTATTTATTTTAAATGTGCTTTTAATCTGTGATACTGTTTAATACTTTTTTAAGGGTGGGTGGGTTTGGGGGTTGGTTGAGATGGGACAGGGATTGTATTTATATAAATTTTAATATTGTAAGCCACCCCAATTGCTCTGCAGAGGGGCAGAGTAAAAATAAATTTTACTATTTATTAGGTGGGCAAAGTTACTTCATTGGTACCTTTGTTGACTGTCTAAGAGCAAGGATGGCATCTGACTGATCAAAATCATCTCCTTTCTCACTCTGGGACCAGCTAAAATTATGTGCAACTGTGGCCTGGGGTGATGTGCTCCTTTTCTTGACAGTGCACTGCACCTGCTGCCTCTCAACATTTGGGTTTTGTGAATAGCTGCCAGCTGCAGGGCCCCAGATTTCCACTGTAAATACCAGCACTGCCTTTAGCACTGTAGTTTAATAATGTTTTAAGGGGGGAGGGAAAATGTTTGTTTTATGCTGTATATTATTATTATTATTATTATTATTATTATTATTATTATTATTATTATTATTATTATTATTATTATTATTCTATCAGGGGTGGCAACTGCTAGGAGTGCAGTAGCTGCACAGATACTCCAACAGGGACTCAGAAGGCCATATCCCTACCCAATCTGTTTTACAAACCAAAAATGTCCTCCCATGTCCCACAGGGGATGGGACAGATTTTTAATAATGTTGGCCTTTTTAGTAGCTGTTACCAGGCTCAGAAACCTCCTTCCTAGAGAGGTTAGACTAGACCCTCCTTGCTATCTATCTACAGGCAGCTGAAGACTTTTTTTGGTTTTGGTAGGACACTGAACACTGACTGCTCAAGGGGAATGGGCTTTGCATAATGCCCTATATTGTTTATTTGTTATTTTCTCTTAATGGTTATGTTTTCAACTGGTTTTAATTTTATTGATAGCTTAATTACATTTTTAATGTTTGTTTCAGGTAAATTTTTAGCTAACGATTTTCAAGGTTCTCAGAGGCCTAAAATGGTGTTGTGATCCTTCAGGCAGTCTGCAAATCACACCTGCCCCATCTTTGCCTGATACAAAGAGCTTCAAAGAGATTTGTGATTATAGCTGGAATTCAGTTTGGGACATCCACAAGTGTAAGTGTTCTTTATGCATGCAGATGCCCTTTTTCAAGCACTGTGGGAGTTAGTATTCCCTTCCTCCTTGTGCAGTGCCCAAAGCCCCACTTCTGACTTACTGTAAAGCCCTGCTGCTACCTCACAGGGCATCTATAATTTCCAGAATATTATTTAATCTATAAGACTGATCTACACATGTAAAGACGCACTTCTCCCCAAACCAGAAGTATCACCCAACCTTCTGGTGCATGTAAACTTCTTTTCCTGATGTTTGGGGAAAGCAGACGGCTCAAAGGGCCATTTGGGGGGCAAGCAAGGGGAGGGGCAGCCACACGGTGGGTGCCCCAACCCCTTCCTGAAGGCATCGTCGGAGCGCCCATACACGCTGCGGTGGAAGAGTCGGTGAAGGTGCGCCGCCAGCCTTTTGCGGCGCACCTTCGGCGATATGTGGAAGGAGCGCTATTTTAGCGCTCCTTCCAGGGGCGGCGAAGCTGCACCGCGGGGCCAAGGTGTGTGAATACCTCAGCCCGGCGGCGCAGCTTCCTGGGGCGGCCCAGGGCCGCCTGTCTGCTTCCCCCCCAAGGGAAGCAGATGGCTCAAAGGGCTGTTTGGGGGGCAAGGAAGGGGAGG